AAATAGGTGAAGGGGTTTAAGAGTACACTTATCTTGAACACTGAGTAGGATATGGAATTGCTGAATCACTATATTATATACCTGAAACTATTACAACACCGTATGTTAACTACACTGGAATTAAAATTCAAAAACTTAAAAATCAAATAAATAAACTAATTAAAAAAAGGGGGGGGCTAAAGTCAGAAGCAACCCATGCATGTGGCATGGGACAAAAGAACAGACCGGCTCACATTACTCCTTCCGATCCCTGATTGGTTGTCCTATGTCACCAGCAAGTTAGTTAGGAAGAACTGGAGAGTGCTCTCACGACCCGTAATAGATGGTGTGAAGCTATGGCATGTACTCACAGGTATGAATATTCACAACAAATATGCACAGCAGGTCTCATTTGGTCCCATGTTGAAGACCACATTACTTATAATTCAGACCAGCTGGAACCTTCTATAATAAGGATTTTAGATTTCAAAATGAGCAAAGTTATTAGGTAAGTGGTTCATCCTAGTGAAATTTATTCCTGCCTCAATGTGCCATGTGTTTTAGAGAAGTTAAGAAATGGGATGAAATCGGGCGCCTGGGTGGCTCAGTTGGTTAAGCGACTGCCTTCGGCTCAGGTCATGATCCTGGAGTCCCGGGATCGAGTCCCGCATCGGGCTCTCTGCTCAGCAGGGAGGCTGCTTCTGCCTCTGACCCTCCCCCCTCTCATGTGCTCTCTCTCTCTCATTCTCTCTGTCTCAAATAAATAAATAAAATCTTTAAAAAAAAAAAAGAAATGGGATGAAATCGGTCCTGACCCTGTAACATTCTGGCCCCGCTTTTCTTTTGAAGGTGTGCCTGACTTCAACTGGTTTCCTTGCCATGTGTTTTTTCTTACTCCAATGCAATAAAGAGTTCTGAGTATTTCACCTTCTGCTTGTTTGGATTGCAACAAGGAGGTATAACCATCCTTGGATGTGATGCATGACACATTAGAAGCGGCAGGATCAAAGGGTTTGGGGACTTTGGCTAAAAATTTGGAACCCCTGCTTCTCTGTTTCCATCTTTCTGCAGGAGAAAAGCCCAGTGCTTATCACTGAAGTTCTTCACAAATAAATGCAGGAAAATACGTTTCCTTCCTTAGTCCCCAGAGATGGAAACGTACTCCGCTCCATCCCCACGCCATATGTTTTACCTGAAAACTCTATTTTGATCGTCCACATCTACAGGCCCTGCTCACCTTAACCTCTCCTCGCAGCACAACTGTTGCAATGAGTTTTACATAAATGAAATTTTCTCATTTATGCATCAGCATGGCTGTTTCCAGGCCACCTTGGGTCATTTCCTCAACAGGCCGAAAGTGGTGTTCGCTTAAATTCACAATCTTCAAAATTTAGGCAAAAACAAGGTTCTACTTGGAAGCAAAAATAAACTGGTTAGTGATTAGGTGAAATAAAATTATCTTGTTACAGAAACCACTGGTCTGCAAATGCTGCACCATTAAACCGCAGGAAGGAAAAAAAGGAAACCACATTACTTTACATAACTTTCGTACCTCATATAACCTCCCAGGCCCTCCCTCTTTAGCCAGATTGAGGATCTGCCTTTAAAGCGCAATAATTTTCGGGAGTAAAACATGTCTAGGAAAAGATCCCATGCTTTGGATAAAAATAAACGCAGCTCGTTTATATTCTAGGTGGTGTACGACAATGGTGAACGGCGGGGAGATCAGCAGACTGAGTTGGCCAGTTCCCCTTCTGGGTACACAGCGGCACGGCATTCTCCCACCCTTCCGAATACAGATGGAGCCACGCGAAAGGATGAGCGTCACTTCTGGTCAGCGCTGGGGGGACGTGAGGGAGGGCAGCATGTGTCGGCCCGGATCTTTGAGTGATTTGGATAACCACACTTGCCTGGAGACTCAACGTGGGCTATGGAGCCTGAGAGGCGAAGTCACAGAGATTTGGGGCCGTTTGTTGCTGTGGCATTCCCTAACCTCCTCTGACCGATAAACACATCAGCTTAATATCTAGTATCTCGCTTTTACCTTCTGCACCTTTTTTTTTTTTTTTAAGATTTTATTTATTTGACAGAGAGCACAAGCAGGGGGAGTGGCAGGCAGAGGGAGAGGGAGAAGCAGGCTCCCCTCTGAGCAGGGAGCCTGATGCGGGGCTTGATCCCAGGACCCTGAGATCATGACCCGAGCTGAAGGCAGACACCCAACCGACTGAGCCACCCAGGCGCTCCTGCGCCTTTTCTAATATCGCTTGCTTCTTCCCAACCTCACACGGGAGAGGGAATTTAATAAACACGTGAAAATGATAATTACAAAGAGAAAAATACGTGTAAACACAGAGTCGTATCAGGGAAGAGAGTGATCATCTGACAATAGCCATTTCTCCTGCCATCATGTGTGTGTGTGTGTGTCTGTGTTTGTGTGTTTGTGTCTGTGTGTGTGTCTGTGTTTGTGTGTGTGTCTGTGTTTATGTGTGTGTGTGTGTGTGTGTGTGTCTGTGTGTGTGGTTTTTAAGTGCCACTGCACCCTGTTGAATAATGGGTGATTTGCTCCACTTTTTATTCATGCCAATTCAACAATGTTGCCACAGAATAAATTTTTTTTTTTACCACAGAATAATTTCTAATGACACAATTTTTCCATGCCCTGATTTTGGCGGCAGCCAGCGTTCCATTACTTTGGGTGTTTGCGGTCCTTAGTTGACTGCATTAGCAAGGAGACTACCAGCTTGGAGAACACCTGCGGCGTTGAGACCCTGCATCCAGCTTTTCCATGTGCTGTTTTCAATTCTCCCGCTGCGTGCTGACCACAAGTATGCGAGTGCGAAGACCGAATGCTAATCAAAAGGGAAAACAGGGTTGGCCGTGGCAATGTCTTAGCGGGAGACTCCTCCAGCCCAGGGCGTGTTGGACACATGACTTGCTGGCAGTCGTAAGCGCCCTACACCAGCTGACTATCAATAACTCGGAAGGTTAGTTATTTTTCTTTTTTCTTTCCACTTAATTTGCAATTTTATCAAAGCGAAATGTGTCCATGACTTAAAAAAAAAAAATCAATTCTAAAAAAGCCTCTAATGAAAAAAAGCCCAGGCCTCCAGCCTGTCCCTCCTGACCCCCGATTTACACTCCACGGATCTCCACTTTAAAATCTATTTGCTGTTTTGTCCCCATGTTTCTAAATAACCTGCTTCTACCGTATTGCTTGATTTTTCCAGACTTAGGTAGATGTCTTGATTCCCCATGATAGGACACAAAAACTTAGTGTTTGCATGAACATCTTTTTGTGGACACACATGCACATAACACACAGTATCAATTAGTTTTTACTGTGTAACCAAGCATTCCAAAACATATTGGCTTAAAGCATCCGTTTATTTACTCACAGTTCTGTGGATCAGCAGTTGAACTGAGCTGGGCTGGGCTGGGCAATCCTTCTGGACTTGGCTGAGCTCATTCATGCAGCTGTGGTCAGTTACTGGGTTGGCTGGGGGCTGGCCAGCCTAAGTGGCCTCAGCTGGGGTGGCTCTTCCACACTCCATGGATTCTTTTTTTTTTTTTTTAAAGATTTTATTTATTTATTTGAGAGAGAGAGAGTGCACGCACAAGCAGGGGAGGGGCAGAGGGAGAAGCAGACTCCCCGCTGAGCAGGGAGCCCAACGCGGGACTCGATCCTGGGACTCCGGGCTCCAACAGAGCCACCCAGGTGCCCACACTCCATGGATTCTTTCATCCTCCAGCAGGCTGTGCTGGGCTCCCGCACACAAGGAGATGGTCAGGGTTCATGGTGCAAGTGGGAGCACATGAAGCTTCTGGAGGGCCAGGCTCAGAACTGGCTTTCTGGTACTCCCACTGTGTTCTCGCAGAAGGTCAGTTGGGTTGAAGGGAGGAAAATCAAACTCCACATCCTGATGGGAGATGCTGTGCTTCACTTTGTGAAGGATACAGGGAGAAGAGGATTGTGGCCACTTTTGCAATCCCGCACAACAAATGGTGTATACACACATCTGCACTCCTCCTCACCACCGTTCCCTTCATACAGCCCTAAACATATCCTATGTCATCAATGGGAGTTAAGTCAGTATTAGCATTTGCCCTGTGATAGTGATGGATGCTTATGTTAACTAGAGCTCATACTGGACTAGGATTATATGGCCTTTTATATATACAGATTTCGGCTCTGATACTCGGAGTAAATAATTGCCTTGATTTGAATGGTTTGCTTAGTTTTTCAAATGTACTCACCACTCACTCAGCTCCAATGAAGCTCTCTGCAGTTAAGTGTGCATTTCCTAAGGACCAATGCAACAGGTGAATTGTCAGTTGCTTCCCCCACCCCTTGGATTCATCCCTTCTGAACCTCTGTCCTTCTAGTCCAATCTGGACGGGCTGTTCTTTGGACCTGTTACATAGTAATCACTGTGAGGTTCTCTTGGCTGCTTTCTTCTGTAGAATGTCCTATTTCTTGGCTAAGAGCATCTTCTCTCTGAGTTTTCTCCTCCTTTTGGAGGAACATAACCTCTAGTAAATTCCTGAAAAACAGTGCATGGGAGGCAACTTTTTGAGACTTTGAATGGCTGCAGATGCTATCCCACTTGCAGACTTGTTTGCTCACTTAGAAATTCTATGGGGGAGACTACTTTCTCCAGAGTTGTTCAGGCACTGTTCTACCTCCCGGTATTACTTTTAAGACCTCGGATATCATTCTGATGCCTGGTCCTTTGTCCATAATCAGGTTTTCTTCTCTAGAAGTTTCTTTAAGAATCACCTCTATTACCGGACTTCTGAAAAAACACAATGATGTATCTCATTGGGGGTCTTCTTCCATTCCTGCTGTAGGCTTCTTGACTCTGGGTCCAGTAACCTTTCCATCTTGTTCTGGACACCTATTGGGTATCCTTTATAGAGATTCTTATTTTCTCATTTTTCTCTTATTTTAAAACTATTTGTTTTGTTTTACTTTTATGAAGGCTTCCCTTCCCTCCCTGCCTCCCCTTTGTTTTCTTTCTTTCTTTCTTTCTTTTTCTTCCTTTTCTTCCTTTCCCT